CCTAGTTCCACTTGTATTGGAAGAAACATGTTTTGCAAGACTACATTTGAATACAAGTGGAAAACCAAGGAAAAGGCGCAACTCAAAAGGCATAAAGCAGAAATGCGCAAAGGAAATAAATGAAGAAGCCCACCTACACTCCAAGACTGGGCCGGGCACCACCGAGGAAGCAACCCATAGCCCAGCCAGCAGACCACTGGAGGAAGGCGGTGGCCAGCAGACCCAGCCTAGGGTACGCCCGCACCCTGGGTGTGCCTGCACCCCCGGCACCTCCTCTCGGGCCCACCTTGCTCCGACGGTTGTATGGCGGCATGCGTAGGCAGTTTCTGATGGTTTCCTATTTTATCTACGCCAAACCAACCTGAAGCATGTATAAATAGGGGGTAGTGCTCACCTTCAACACACACACAACATTTGGAGCTACACACCTCACCTCTCTACTTGTAATCTTTAGTTCTTAGTAGTAGTTTGGAGCTAGCAAGGGCTATCAAGGAGGGCTTGGCTCCTTGGAAGAAAAGAGAGAAAGCTTGGTATGAATACAAAGAGAATTTCTTCCAAAGTCATGCTCTCATATCTTCAATATAGTAGTGCGTATGAACTAGAGTATAGTTGTCTTGTTATAATCATGATATATGAATTAGCATATAGTTTGTGTGTTATGATCTTAACATGTTCAACATTATGCTTAACCATTCATATGACTTGTATGAGTAGTAGAGCTATGCATGAGGTGGCAATTCATCGTTCCTTCGGGTTTGCCCATATTCTTGCTTATCGATCCATAGGGTCGGAGTCCCAGGGTGATATGGGTAGTTTCCTTGTACACGGGGCATGGTGCTCGGGTGCATGAGAACCTTCGAATATGACGGTGCCCCAGTTGAAGGGTAGGCGGCAGGTGGTGATAGCCCTATCCGTCCCTTGTAATCCTCCACGCTCTGGTACTATGTTGGAGTCTCAAAGTCTCCCATGTGCTGGCAGACCAGTTTCCAGAGATCTTCGCATCCATCTTACACTTAGTTCTAACTCTAGTCATATAACTTGTTTGATCTTTAACTGTTCTTTGCACGACTACATTAGAACATGCCGGCTCCACGTAGGATCATTCTTTTATTCTTTATTTTCCTTTTATCCTTGAGGTTGGACCAGATATGTGTCCACTATCCTTGAAATATTGTTTTTACCCCTATCATGAACTATTGGTTTACTAATGCAAGCATGTAATCTTGTTCATACTCATGCTAGACTCTTACACCTTGGCCTCCTTTGGGAAATATAAATAACGATACCCTGAATGCTGCTGGGTGAAATGCTACAACGATAGATCTATGCACTTGCGGATATTTTCTGTAATCGTTAAGAACTATCGTAGTTGGTGTTTCTTGGCTGCGTCGCTAAGGTTAACTCAATCTTAGTGATGGTGCTAAGAGATACCAATAGGCATTTCTGGCGCCATTGCCGAGGATGAACTTAAAACCTCCACACTTGGTGACTACGCTAAGAAATACCAACAACCTGTCAAGCCCATAGGCAATCCTCCGTCTCCTAGAGGTAGGCCGCGTGGCTATGGGGACTTTAGTCCGGCAGTGTGAGCTTGGGTGCCTCCACGACAAGAACCTCGTCATCGACGTGGTAGAATATGCGGGGCTATGTGAAGCAGTCGATGTCATCAGAGTCATACTCCAGGTCATTCCTCGAAAGCATCTCGAGGAAGGTGTGCAGTGACGGGACATTGGTCCCTGCTGTGCCTGATAGGATGGCGCTCCGCGGTGCCTCACGACTGATGAGGTGCCCCAGCTCCATCTGGAAGGATGCAGTTGCGCTCTGGATCCCAAAAGGCAGGCCTAGGAGGTAGACCATAAGTGGTCAGGCGGCGGGAGCACCTCACCGGTGGTGATCTGGTGGTGGACGTTGGCTAGCATGTAGAACATCTGGCGGCGGTTCGACACGATGGGGTTCGGGCCCAAACCGCGCCGGATCTATCGGGCCAGGACCTCGAGATCTGCTCCTAGAAGTTTTGGTGGAGGGGGTGACGCCGGGGGCTCATTGCCCACTGGCATGGCTCCATGGAGTGGACAAAGCTTGCCATAGCAGTCAGCGACGTAGCATAGGTTCCCAAAGTTGAGGAGCTAGCCCAGAGCAAAGGCACCGGCCGTGATGGAGAACTCACCGGGGAAGTGGACACCGCCATCTAGGGCGGTGCCGCTTGCTCCGGCGATGAGGTGGGTGGCTTCAGCCATCGTAGAGCCTGAATCACACTTGACACTGCCCCTACCTAGCGCGCCAGCTGTCGCGGGGTCAGAACCACGGCAAGCATTGTTGTTTGAGTCAGTGTCAGAGTACATGTCTCTGGTGGCTCGGGTGGACTCAAGAACACAAGAATCATAGAGAGGATGCAACGGTTTATCTTGGTTCGGGCCAATTGGTGCCCTACGTCCAGCAGCTGATGATCCTTATACTCAAAAGCACCCAAAATTGGGGGGTTACAACAGGGTTGTAGAGAGATTTGGTAGGTGGTTAGCTCGGTGCTAATCCTCTGGTTGCCTCACCGCCGGTGGAGTCTTCCCCTCGTTGGAGAGGAGGAAGATGACAGGATGCGGTGGAGGAGCTCTCGGTGCCCCTCTCTGGGTTGCCTTACTCTTGGTGCTAAGCCGAGGCCAAGGAATGGAATGGAGTGGAATGATCTGTCTTCTACTGATTGTTCCCCCTAGGTCCGACCTTATCCCTTATATAATGACATAGGTCGGGTAAATGGCGGTTTGGGGGAACTAGTCTATGGTCTACATGCATCGGAGTCCAGGAGGGCCTTGCAGCGATGCGTTGTGGACCGTGGCGGTGTTGTGGAGCCAAAGAAGCCTTGGGCGTCGTCCGGCTGCTCTGTTCTGACACTCTGCGTGTCAGGCTGTGTCGGCTTGGACCGGCCTCCCCCAGGTGGACCTTCTGGAGTCTTCTTGGTGGTGAAGGATGTCGGCTTCAGGGGCTGACGCACGGGCCCGGGGGCCTCCGAGCCCCTGGAGGCCATAGGGAAGCTTTGTCTTCTTGTGTCACGCCCTGTGCGTGACCTTGTCGGGAAAGTGGCCGGCAATGTCGTGCCCAAGGGGCAGCGCTGGGGAGCCCCCAAGCCTTGGTAGCTCGAGGCACGTCTTCTTGTGCTTGGGCCTTGGCTGGCATCGTTGGCCAGGCAGGAGCCAAGGGCCGGGCCGGAGTGTTGTCGTAGATCGGGAGCCTCAGGGCTCGGGCAAAGCCCCAAGCCCCAAGCAGAGACCGCGTCGTAGTTAGGCTCGGTAGGGTTTCTTTTCAGAGGGTGCGCACGAGCGTACCCGATGGGTATAGCCCCCGAGCCCCCGGGCGATCCTGGAGAGGTCGGGTGGTCTTCTTCGTTCGGGAACCATTGGACCCGAGGCTTAACATACCCATATGTTAGGATCTCGTCAGGCGGCTTTGACCTTCGTGATGGTACCTATGGGCCATGTACTCACCAGATTTTGCAGTAAAGTGAATGAACTTTTTATTTGTTGTTTCCTTTTATTTCTACTCAAATATTTTAGTTCTTAGCATGACAAATTATGGAAAAAAATTTAACTGTGCTAGCGGTTTTCAAGGAAAGGTGCATTTACTTGTCATTATTGTTTCCCGAAAGTTCGTTCTAGTCGTCATTTTAGTCCCTAAAGCCACAAAGTGTGACACACTTCTCACTGTATCAGCGATTTTAGTTCTTAGCATCACAGTAAACTTTTGATTGTTCAAGCGGTTTTCCAAGGAAAGTGCATTTACTCATCATTATTATTTTATATAATTGTTATTGCCGCTTTAGTTCATAAAGCCATAATTTATTACAAACTAATCATTGTGCCAGCGGTTTTAGTTCTTAGCAAATGATTTTAGGGGAAAAGTTAGTGATACTAGGGGGAGAATTAATTTACTTCTTATTATTAACTGACATGTCAGTTCCTAGCATCACAAATCATGCAAAACTTCTTACTATAGCACCAGCATATTTACAGGTAAAGTGGATGCACTTCTCACCTTTGTTTCCCTATAAATATAGCCATTTCTTTCATTTACAAACATGTGCAGCGACACAAAGTACATCATAGGATATTGGTTTAACAATGAATAGAGAGGCTGTGCCTTCATGGCTACAGTTATTGCTTGCAACACAATTCTTTACCATACGCACAACCCATTTTCTTGCTACTCGCAAATTAGATGGAGTATAAATGAGCAGCCTAAATCGCATGTAGTCATAACATATAATTTTGGCTACAATTACGGGTAACGGCACCGCGTCCTCGCCACTCACACAGCTAGAGGTACCGTGATAGAAAACCTGCCTTTTTGGCCCAATTTTTGCACCGTCTTTTCTGTTGGCTTAATTAGAAGTTGTACCAACTGTTGTATATGAAATGGCTTCTGATGCCAAAAAGAACAGAAGCAGAAATCATTTCACATTTAGAAGCGCAAGCCTCACAAACGTTACTTCGTTTGGCATTTTCTAGGCCTACGTTCATAAATATGGGATGGGTGATCAGGTTCATAAGAATTATAGGCAAAATGCAACCGAGGTTTCCTTTCATGCGCAACTCGAGATAGAGGAACTTTGGCTATTTGACCTCTTCTATTCCTTCTTCCTTCTTTAAAAAAGAGCCATTTTACCGAATGAGGGCTTCAACTTCAACCTAGAAGCTGCTTTTGCAAATAAGTTAGAACCAGAACCTTTTTGGAAAAGCCAGATTCTTATTATTTTGATGTCGATTGCTTACTAGAAAAGGTGCTTAATTAATTCAACACATATCCTTTCCAATTTTTCAGTTTGCAACAAATAGTGGTGGACTGGCGTATCACATCACCACCATCGACATCGCCACCACTCCAACAAAATTCCCCAAACCCCTCACCACTCTTCTATGTCCCTTCCCAGTACAACCATGGAGGGTATGCTTCTCTAGATGAGGAGGGAAGTAATGTACGAGCACATAATGGACCACGCGATGAGCACCACCATGAGGGATGTCCTGAGCTCCTGGCTCTTAGACCGGCTCGTCTATGCTAGTGCCTTCTTCTCAGCCGACTTCTCATCCCAGCCATTGGGTGCATCACTGAGTACCGAGTCATCGTGCCCCGACAATATCCTACGGGACATCATCTCACATCTTCCTATCAAGGATGCCGTGTGCACCGCCTTGCTCTTGTTGCGCTGACTCCCGCTCTAGTGATCCACGCCACTCGTCCTCATTGATGCCTCCACGTCCCGGGCGCTAGCCATGACAGGAGCCTTGCTCGTGACGCTGACTCCAATGCGGACACTGTAGTGGTGTTTCAGATGCTTGAGGCAAACCAGGGGCCCTTCCATTGCATGGACCTCACCGGTAGCTCCATGGCTACACACTGCGCCGAACTCATCACTAGTTCTACCTCCTCACCATCTAGTGCGTCGAGGAGCTCATCGTCGTGAATTTGCCCTGGTCGCTTGATGTCCCCCTCCCCATCACGATCTTCACCCTATCGTTCGTTAGGCGTCTTGACCTTGGCATCCAGAGGTTCCCCAAGAACGTGGAACACCTTGTATACTAGCAAGCCTTGATAGTCCAAATGGTCATGTTGTTTTATCAGACACCAAAATCAAACTTAGTGGCCCACCGGGTCCATTTTCCTTACATGCATGACACCATGTCATGTCTCATTGTGCAATGAGCTCCTTCATCTCACTAGTTGAGCATTACCGTCATGCAAAAGCCATTTCACCAACATGGTTCGACGTCTTTCTCACACTAGTGTACATGTGGACTAACCACATGTGTATCTCACATAAATCACATTAGACCATCTAAGGTTGTCACTAAATTACCGAAACCAAATCGAGGCTTTTAGTAGGGTGCCCCTGATGAGAAAATCCTACTAGATCCTTAATCCATATATAGATACATAGTTGCGATCCCCTACTCGCAACTAGCCCCCAGTGCATGGGTCGCAACAAGCAACAATGTTCCTCATCTATATTAGATGTAGGGTACCCATATTTGAGCTAGTATAAAAATGTGTGGTGTGTGCTACCCCTATGATCTACTATGTGTTATACATTGATTATTTGTCAGATGTAAAAAATGACAAGTCGTAGGGTTACTAGAGGTATCTATTAGAGGCTCCCTACCTTGCCATATATAGTATATGGACAGTGTTATAGAGAGATCATATCTTGATTGGCTTACTAATATGTTTCCTAGTTTACTACAACAAGATCCGATTGAACGGTTAACATGCATATCTATCTATGCCTTGCATATATCAAGTAAATGAGATACCCTAGAATATACGTCGCCTCTAGCCAGTCGGCTTAACCCACCCCTGTACAGGGGCGGCTTTGACCTTCGTGATGATACCTATGGGCCATGTACTCACCAGATTTTGCAGTAAAGTGGATGAACATTTTATTTGTTGTTTCCTTATTTTTCTAGTAAAATATTCTAGTTCTTAGCCCAAAAAATTATGGAAAAACTTTTAACTGTGCTATCGGTTTTCAAGGAAAGGTGCATTTACTTGTCATTATTGTTTCCCAAAAGTTCGTTCTAGTCGGCATTTTAGTCCCTAAAGCCACAAAGTGTGACACACTTCTCACTGAATCAACGGTTTCAGTTCTTGACATCACATTAAAGCTTTTGATTGTTCTAGCGGTTTTCCAAGGAAAGTGCATTAACTTGTCATTATTATTTTCAAGAATTTTAATTGCCATTTTAGTTCATAAAGGCATAAATTATTACAAAATTCCCATTGTGCCAACGGTTTTAGTTCTTATAAATGATTTTGATACTAGAGGGAGAATTCATTTACTTCTCAATATCAACTGACATGTCAGTTCCTAGCATCACAAATTATGCAAAACTTCTTACTACACCGCCAGCATATTTACAAGTAAAGTGAATGTACTTCTCACCTTCGTTTCCCTATAAATATAGTCATTTCCTTCGTTTACAAACATGTGCAGCGACACAAAGTACATCATAGGATATTGGTTTAACAATGAATAGAGAGGCAGTGACTTCATGGCTAGAGTTATTGCTTGCAACACAATTATTTACCATATGCACAACCCATTTTCTTGCTACTTGAAAATTAGATGGAGTGTAAATGAGCAGCCTAAATTGCGTGTAGTCACGATATATAATTTTGGCTACAGTTATGGGTAACGGCACCGCGTCCTCGGCACTCACACTTAGAGGTACTGTGACAGAAAACCTGCCTTTTGGCACAACTTTTGCACCGGCTTTTCTGTTGGCTTAATTAGAAGTTGTTCCGACCGTTCTATATGAAACGGCTTCTAATGCCCAAAAGAACAGAAGTTGAAGTCATTTCACATTTGGAAGCGCAAGCTGTACAAACGTTACTTTGTTTGGCATTTTTCTGGGCCTACGTTCATAAATATGGAAAGGCTGATCAAGTTCATAAGAATTATAGGCAAAATGCAAACAAGGTTTCCTCTCATGAGCAACTCGAGATAGAGGTACTTTGGATTTTTGGCCTCTTCCATTCTTTCTTCCTTCTTTAAAAAAGAGCCATTTTACCGGATGAGGGCTTCAACTTCAACCTAGAAGCTGCTTTTGCAAATAAGTCAGAACCAGAACCTTTTTGGAGAAGCCAGATTCTTATCATTTTGATGTCGATTGCTTACCAAGAAAGGTGGTTAATTACTTGAACACATATCCTTTCCGTTTTTTTAGTTTGCAAAAAATAGTGGTGGACTGGCGTGTCAGTTCACCACCATCGACATCGCCACCACTCCAACAAAATTCCGCAAACCCCTCACCGCTCTTATGTGTCCCTTCCCGGTACAACCATGGACTGTATGCTTCTCTAGATGAAGAGGCAAGGGATGTAAGCGCACCAGATGGACCAAGTGATGAGCACCACAATGAGGGATGTTCTGAGCTCTTGGCTCTTGGACCCCGCTTGTCTACGCGGGTGCCTTCCTCTCTCAGCCGACTTCTCGTCCCAGCTGGATCCCGCTCTGGTGCTCCACACCACTCGTCCTCATCGATGCCTCCATGTCCCGGGCGCTAGCCATGACGGGAGCCAAGCCCGCGAAGCTGACTCTAGTGCGGTCACTATAGCGGTGTCTCAGGTCCTGGAGGCACACCTGGGCCCTTCCATTGCGTCGACCTCACCAGTTGCTCCATGACCGCGCATCGCGTCGAACTCGTATACTGGTTCTACCTCCTCGCCATCTAGTGCATCAAGGAACTCATTTTCGTGAACTGGCCCTAGCCGCTCGATTCCCCCTCCCCATCGCGATCTTCACCCTATCGTTCATCAGGCGCCTCGACCTCAGTGTCCGGAGGTTCCCCAACAACGTGGAACACCTTGTATACTAGCAAGCCTTGTTAGTCCAAATGGTCATGTTGTTTTATCAAATACTAAAATCAAACTTAATGGCCCATAGGGTCCATTTTGCATACACGCATGACACCATGTCATATCTCATTGTGCAGTGAGCTCCTTCATCTCACTAGTTGAGCATTACCGTCATGCAGAAGCCATTTCACCACCATGGTTTGATGTCTTTCTCACACTAGTGTATCTCACATGTGTATCTCACATAAATCATGTTAGTCCATCTAAGGTTGTCACTAAATTACTGAAACCAAACTGAGGCTTTCAGTAGGGTGCCCCGGTTGAGAAAATCCTACTAGATGCTCAATCCATAGACACATAGTTGTGATCCCCTACTCGCAACCAGCCCCCAGCGCATGGGATACAACAAGCAACAACGTTCCTCATCTATATTGGATGTAGGGTAACCCATACTTTAACAAGTATAAAAATGTGTGGTGTGTGCTACCCCTATAATCTACTATGTGTGATACGTACATTGATTACTAGTCAGATGTAAAAATGACAAGTGGTAGGGTTGCTAGAGGTACGCATCTATTAGAGGCTCTCTACCTTGCCTTATATAGTATACGAGCAGTGTTATAGAGAGTTCATCAGCCTGATCGGTACAGATGGCTGCAGTTGTTTAGGCCATTGCCGCAGGTTCATTTTTCCTATTAGCTATTGTAGCTATTAGGGGAGGCTGTGCAGCAGCCGCAGCTACAGCGCTCCAAAATCATAGCCGATCAGCCCACCTATCTTGATTGGCTTATTTATCTATCTCCTAGTTTACTACAACAAGATCCGACTGAATGGTTAACATGCATATCTATCTATGCCTTGCATATATCAAGTAAATGACAGACCCTCGAATATACGCTGCCTCTAGCCAGTCGGTTTTGCCCACCCCTATACAGGGGCGGCTTTGACCTTCGTTATGATACCTATGGGCCATGTACTCACCAGGTTTTGCAGTAAAGTGGATGAATTATTTATTTGTTGTTACCTTATATTTCTAGTCAAATATTTTAGTTCTTAGCATGACAAATTATGGAAAAACTTTTAACTGTGCTAGCAGTTTTCAAGGAAAGGTGCATTTACTTGTCATTATTGTTTCCCAAAAGTTCGTTCTAGTCGGCATTTTAGTCCCTAAAGCCACAAAGTGTGACACACTTCTCACTGTATCAGCGGTTTTAGTTCTTAGCATCACAGTAAAGCTTTTAATTGTTCTAGCAGATTCCCAAGGAAAATGCATTTACTTATCATTATTATTTTCTATAATTTTAATTGCCATTTTAGTTCATAAATGCATAAAGCCATAAATTATTACAAACTTCTCATTGTGCCAACTGTTTTAGTTCTTAGCAAATGATTTTAGGGGAAAAGTTAGTGATACTAGGGGGAGAATTAATTTACTTCTCATTATCAACTGACATGTCAGTTCCTAGCATCACAAATTATGCAAAACTTCTTACTACGCCACTAGCATATTTACAGGTAAAGTGAACGTACTTCTCAACTTTGTTTCCGTATAAATATAGCCATTTCCTTCGTTTACAAACATGTGCAGCGACACAAAGTACATCATAGGATATTGGTTTAACATTGAATACAGAGACAGTGCCTTCATCGCTAGAGTTATTGCTTACAACACAATTCTTTACCATATGCACAACCCAGTTTCTTGCTACTTGCAAATTAGAAGGAGTATAAATGAGCAACCTAAATCGGGTGTAGTCACAATGTATAATTTTGGCTACAGTTACGGGTAATGGCACCGCGTCCTTGGCACTCACACCTAGAGGTACTGTGACAGAAATTATTTGCACAACTTTTG